ACAGCTTGAAAAACTGTTTGTTCAGTGTAAATCACCATCTGACATTGCTGCTGACTCATGGAGCAGGATCCATTTGCTCAGGGATTGTTCAGGCCTTGCTGTGCATTAAGTTGTCAGTTTGGCCAAGTGTCACTTTGCAAGGCAGCGCTTGTGGCTTTAAGCTGATGCCCAGCRCTGGGCTGGGTTGGGAGCACGCTCATGCCAAGTGTTTCTGAGTTTAAATGGGATTCCTTRGGGTTTGGAGGCATTCTCCTGAAAGCAGCAGGCAGTAGCCCCCAGCTCTGCTGCAGTGGGCCAGCTGTGCACAGACAGATGTTGCTCTGTACACACAGGCAAAATCAACCCAGCTCTTCAGTCAGGGGAAAGGGAATTTGCTCAAGCRTTGTGGAGGAATGTGAGGGCAGAACAAAGCAGTGACTGCTTCCATTTTCTCTGCAGACAGAGCAATCCATGGCAGCATCCTGTTATCTCTGAAGGGAGGGAGGGAATGCTCGGTATCTGGAGCAGCTCTCAAAGTTCCCGGTACCATTATAGGGTGGCCTTGCTGCTGAGAGCCCCAGAACCTTTYGGGKTGGAAAAAACCTYCAGGATCAAGTCCAAGCTGTGCCCCATCCCCACCCTGTCCCCAACCCAAAGCACTGGGTGCCAMGTCCAGGCATTCCTTGGACACCTCCAGGGATGGGCACTCCTGCAGCCAGGTGAGCTGGTGGTCTCACTTTGACCTGGGGTCCTGTTAGATCTCAGAGGAGAGGTAAGAAAATGTGAGCTTTCTGCACCTGGAGTTGGGTTATTGACATTAATGTGAATCTGAGGATGATTTAGTGATTTTTGCTTTTTACATCCTTCTCTGAACCAGGATTCTTTCAGCATCTGGAGTGTTATGGTAGGGCTGAACTTCCTCAGCTTTCCMATCTCTGATCTGGAACCAAAGGATGTTATCACTAAATACCAATAACTTGCAGATCTGTTATTTCATTTTTCAGTTGGAGAAATGAAATCAGAGCAAGTGAGGTCCTCACCTGCCTTTGGCTTTATCACTTGATTACCACCAGCCTTTCCTGGAAATCAGACTGTGTAATTCTGGAGTAACCTCAAGGCTCATTTTGTCTCTGAGTTTTCACCATAGCTTTATTTCCAACTGGCAATCTGTTGAAATGCTGTAACACAAAATTCTGCTAAGCCAGGGGTTTTGATCTCCTTGACTTGGGTTTTGTTCTAAAGCCTGTGGATCTTCTTGGTGATTTGGAAATCTCTCCAGGGGAGGCTCAGGCTTTTGTGCAACATCATTTACAGACTGCTAAATATTTTTATGCACAGCATGAAGAGATGGGAGCACAGGCCTCTCCTTATGAGTGGTGTGGAGGAAGCGATTCCCACGKGTGTGGTTTGTAAAGCAGTGGGAGATCACTGAGTGCAGGTTCATTGCTGTGAAATGCAGGTGCTGCTCCAGTGGCACTTGGCCATTTTTTCTCTCTGCTGTCCCATTACTGCTCACACAATTAACTGAGAGCCAGGCTAAATTATGAAATTTTACAAAGAAGAAGAAGCTGAAGGCAAATTCATTGCTTTGACTTAGCAGAAGTCGTGACTTTTGTTTTTATAATGACTCCTGGTTATACTAATAAATGATCCCCAGCGTCTTTTGTACAGTAACCACATTCTAATGAAATCCCTCATTCCAGTGACTCTTATTAAATATTCCATGAAAATGAAGGTGATAGAATAACTGTGTTATTGCTGAGGGTGTAACTAACAAGGTTWGAGTGTAGCTGTTGTCAGAATTAACATACTTTTCTCTGTTCTCAGTGTTAGAGTCCTGTTTCAGATAAATTCACCCTTTGCAGTTGATCAAGATAGTGGAACAGTTAATGAGCAATGGCCTTGCCTGAGTTATGCTGAATTTTAAGGTAAATTTATTTAGGTGAGATGTATGGAAGAAATCCTTCCCTGGGAGGGTGAGGAGGCCCTGGCACAGGGGMTGTGGCTCTCCCTGGATCCCTGGAAGTGTCCAAGGCCGGGCTGGAGCAGCCTGGGCTRGTGGAAGGTGTCCCTAACCATGGAAGGGCCAGAATGAGATGATCTTTAATGTCYCACCCCACCCCTTCTGTGATTCCATGAGTTCTGGTGAATCAGGTGAGTACTTTAACTCCATTGCCAAGAATGCTCAGAGAAAACCAAACCTCCACCAGCAACAGAAGGTGAGTTTTTTCAAGGAATCCCTGATTGTGCATGCAGCAATGTCCCAATGGCTCCTTCCTTCTCCTTGGCATCTGCTGTGGGCACCAAAACCTGCCTCATTTTAAAAGGATTGTCAGGGCTCACAGATGATGGAACATCCTTGGCCAAAGCAAAACTGAAACAACAGAATTCAGGAACCAATGCAAGTTCTGAGCTGGAGGAGCTGACCCTGGAACACAAAGCTAAYGCACGATGAGGTGCAGGCTGAAAGCTGGAATCTGGGCTATTTTTAACCCGACAGTTACAGCTGTGGTGAAAAGCTGAGATGTTTRCTCAGAGTGATTAATACAGAGATAGTGGCCAGCTGGTAGTCAGTTCACACGTGTGGGAAGGTGGGTGAAGAGCRGTGTACAGCTAAAATAGCTGAACTTGACAGATCTGCAGAGAGATTTTAGGTGGCATTGATTTTTCTGAGTAGCAACAGATCCTGAAAAGGATCCGAGCTGAATTTGCATTTGAGATCAAAGYGCTGGCAATGTGCTGTTGGGAAAAGTGGACAAAATGTGCCCCACGAGGTCAGCGTGTTTGCATTAGCAGGGTGGAAGCATTTCCATGAGTACAGGTGCTGAGAAACCACTGCCTTGGCAGCCGCGGTGCCCCGAGGAGGCTGCAGGAAGGAAGCGGCTGCCAGCTGGCACAGGCAGCTCCTGCCCTGGCAGATACAGCAGCGAGTGTTCCTGCACAATGCCCAGACAGTCATGGAATGAACGCGGGGCTCTTTGGGTTTGTGTGTGAGGATTCGGGGGGGTTGTGGTGTGGGCTGCATTGCAGCTAAAGGAAGGATTTCTTTACCAGGGTTTTGTTGATGGATRGACCTGGGGAAGTTTGTATGCCAGGAGCAGTTTTTAATGAAGCTTTTGGGTTTAATATCCTAAACTGTACTCACTGGGACGGTTGCTTAGTGTAGATCTTGGCAGAGGAGGAGGGAGTTGAGAATTGTAGAATCACAGAATATCCTGAGTTGGAAGGCACCCWTAGGGACCATCAAGTCCAAGTCCTCACCCTGCACAGCCCCAAAATCCCACCCTGTGTCTGAGACGCTCCTGGAGCTCTGTCAGCCTTGGGGCTGTGASCATTCCCCGGGGAGCCKGACCACCYTCTGGGSAAARAGYCTTTCCYTAATAWAGGAGGTCACAGCTGATATTTGAGGTCACAGTTGATCTCGAGGCTCCTGTCTTGATGGTGATTTCATATCTACACCCTCCTTTTTAGTCCGTACTATTTGGAACCTGCAGGAGATGCCCTTTTATAACTGGGAAATAACAAATTACTCCGGAGAACTGTCAGGCCGTGGCTCGGCGAGTTGTTTTCCCTGGTTGGCAGCTGCAYGCAGGACGTGCCTTTCCCTGCAGTGTGTACAATAGCTGGGAATCCAGGGATGCTTGGCAGGGCGGGATCGCTCCCGGCCCGGAGCGGCGGCACCGGGACAGCGCCGGTTCTGCGGGAGCGGCCGCCACCTGGCGGGGCCCGCCCGCACTGCAGCGGCCGGAACGCGGGGTCGGGAATCCCGGGATGGCTGAGGCTGGAAAACACGGGAACATCGAGTACAGCCTGTGAGCTATCCGCACTGTGTCCCCAGCCCAGAGCACTCAGTGCCACCTCCAGTCCTTCCTTGGACACCTCCAGGGATGGGCACTCCAAACCTCCCTGCAAAGCACCCTTTCCATGAGGAAATTCCTGCTGAATTTCCCCTCCCCAGCCCAGCCTGAGGCCGTTCCCTCTCCTCCTGTCCCTGTTCCCTGGAGCACAGCCCGACCCCCCCCGGCTGTCCCCTCCTGTCAGCAGAGCCCCAAATCCCCCCTGATCCCCATTTTCTCCAGGCTGAGCCCCTTTCCCAGCTCCCTCAGCCTCTCCTGGGGCTCCAGACCCTTCCCAGCTCCGTTCCCTTCCCTGGACACACACAGGGACCCTCAGCCTCCTCAGAGCCTGGGGAATGATCGATCACAATTTGCTTCGTGGTCTCTTAGGACCCTCTCCCAAGGGCAACACCATTCATGCTGCCAGTGCTGCTAAAACAATTAGGGGGAGAAAAAGATATTTTCATAGAATTTATTGTTGCTAATTTGCTATCCTTTGAGAAGTGTGCRGAACACTGGGAAATAATCCAGAGCAGTATTTTAATAACAAAAAAAAAAATCAGTGGACATGATGTAAATTCTTCCCTGTGAGGGTGGGGAGGCCCTGGCACAGGATGCCCAGAGAAGCTGTGGCTGCCCCTGGATCCCTGGAAGTGTCCAAGGCCAGGCTAGATGGGGCTTGGAGCACCTGGGATAGTGGAAGTTTGGGCATGGATGCTGTTTAAGGTCCCTTCCAACCCRAACCATTCTATGACTCTCTGACTGGCGCTCTTCAGTGTTTCTGGAGTTCTCTCAGTGGATTGAGAACTCCAATTGTCAGTGTCCATAATCAACAAATCCCTGCTGCAGTGGGACACGTCTCTGCTGAGCATCTGCATGGGCCGGACTGACCACGCCGGACATCCTGTCAGTGTCACACATCTGCTGCTGCCTGAAGGACAAAGCAGGTGTTTATTTAATGTTTCATTACTGCTGTGCAGGTGGCTGGAGCGGGTGCACTGTTAGGGWAAGAATTCATTGCGGCAGTGCAGGCGCCGCAGCAGCACCCTCACCAAAGGGGAGCCGGTGGTTCCCCKGCTGTAGAGACAAACAGTACATCAAACAACCTTCAGCCCGGAGWCCCGTTATCACTGCTACAAACAGATCAATGACTTGCATGAAATATATCAATACATGGCTTCGGGCAGCAGCGCTGTGTTCTGAACCTTAGCGCTGGCCCCGAGCCAGGGGCACATCCAGCGCGGTTCCCCTCACTGACCCCTCGTTCCCCTCACCGCCCCTCAGCCCCGAATCCACCCTGCCCCGGCTCCCCTCACCGACCCCTCGGTCCCGAATCCACCCTGCCCCGGCTCCCCTCACCAGCTCCTCTCAGACCCCGGTTCCTCTCACTGAGCCGCAAGCTTCGGTTCTCCCCA